AAAAAAAAAAAATGAAAAAAAATTTCTCAAATTCATTAAATATTTAAAGTATGCTAATTGAAGCGCCTAAAAATATGCAAACACGCAAGCGTATGTATTAGACTATGTTGTGGAGGCTTTAATGAATATCGTATACATTAAAAGTTGAAAATTGAAAGCGATTGCAAATATGAACACGCGTAATATACTTGTTGCTCGTTTTACACGGTTTTCCTTAATATGTCTTTTCTAGATTTTATTTACCGTTTTTGCTCTGTACATTTGTTTTTTGTAACAAAATTTAAATTATCTGCTCATTTTTTCTCATCTCTAAAAGTATTTTATACTTCGTAATAGAACAAGACGAAAGCTTTCCACGCGCTTTTATTTGAATATCGTGACGAATTAGTGAATCTTTTTGAAAATGTAATTACTTCTCGTTTTTTTTTTTGCACAAGCTTTTAATTCCCTGGCAAACCGTGTAAAAATGGCATCAGTTGCATACTTTTTCTCGCTTTTCTGTCATTCTTTTTTTTTATATATATATTTAAAGCGTGTATGGTTTACTCTTTTCTATGCGTTTGACCAAAACTTAGTTGTCTCGCATGAACGACTTAATTCTTTTGTATAGAGTAATAAAGTATTTGAACTGTAGCTGTATAGAAAAATGTATGTACTACCCTCTTGTCGTTTCTACTATGTTTTAAACGCCTAAAAAAGCTTTATTTTGTTACTATTGTTGCAATTCGAAACTGTAATATTTGCGTCTTCACTTAGTATATGCTATGGTTCTAAGTTTTGTTTTAATCATTTTGGAGCAATCAATCAGTAGTCGATATTTTTGTAAGTAAGAAAACGCTATAAAATGGTTCAAGTTTTTTGTGTTTTGTTTTTGTTATTTTCAATGACGTTCAAAACCTTTGATATACGCCAAAGTTCTGCTATCACCTCTTACACGTTTACTCATAGACCTGCTACTTTCATATAAATACATATATCATATAACACACGCACAGGCGTAAGTTTATGTATAAGCCTGTACTAAGTATGTATGTATGTATGTATTTAGTTTATCTGATTTAGTTAAGTAGGTAGATTTTTTTGTAATAAAATTTTCTAAAATTTTCGTTTTTCTCAAATCATTTTACCTACATGCATTTAGTAATGATAAAACTCGTAACCTTCTCTGTCTAGTTTTCTCTGCCGTAATTGCAAATTTTTACCTACAAATCTCTCTCGTATATAAGTATGGANTATACATTAAAAGTTGAAAATTGAAAGCGATTGCAAATATGAACACGCGTCATAACAAATGAAATTGGGATGTAATATACTTGTTGCTCGTTTTACACGGTTTTCCTTTATATGTCTTTTCTAGATTTTATTAACCGGTTTTTACCGTTTTTACTCTGTACATCTTTTTTTTTGTAACAAAATTGAAATTATCGGCTCATTTTTTCTCATCTCTAAAAGTATTTTATACTTCGAAATAATAGAACAAGACGAAAGCTTTCCACGCGCTTTTATTTGAATATCGTGACGAATTAGTGAATCTTTTTGAAAATGTAATTACTTCTCATTTTTTTGCACAAGCTTTTAATTCTCTGGCAAACCGTGTAGAAATGGCATCAGTTGCATACTTTTTCTCGCTTTTCTATCATTCTTTTTTTTTATATATATATTTAAAGCGTGTATGGTTTACTCTTTTCTATGCGTTTGACCAAAACTTAGTTGTCTCGCATGAACTACCTACTTGATTCTTTTGTGTAGAGTAATAAAGTATTTGAACTGTAGCTGTATAGAAAAATGTATGTACTACCTTCTTGTCGTTTCTACTATGTTTTAAACGCCTTAAAAAGCTTTATTTTGTTACTATTGTTGCAATTCGAAACTGTAATATTTGTGTCTTCACTTAGTATATGCTATGGCTCTAAGTTTAATTTTAATCATTTTGGAGCAATCAATCGGTAGTCGATATTTTTGTAAGTAAGAAAACGCTATAAAATGGTTCAAGTTTTTTGTGTTTTGTTTTTGTTTTTGTTATTTTCAATGACGTTCAAAACCTTTGATATACGCCAAAGTTCTGCTATCACCTCTTGCACGTTTACTCATAGACCTGCTACTTTCATATAAATACATATATTCATATCATATCATATAACACACGCACAGGCGTAAGTTTATGTATAAGCCTGTACTATGTATGTATGTATTTAGTTTATCTGATTTAGTTAAGTAGGTAGATATTTTTTGTAATAAAATTTTTCTAAAATTTTCGTTTTTCTCAAATCCTTTTACCTACATGCCTTTAGTAATGATAAAACTCGTAATCTTCTCTGTCTAGTTTTCTCTGCCGTAATTGCAAATTTTAACCTACATATCTCTCTCGTATATATGTATGCATATTTTACATTGTATTTGTNATAAGTTGCAATACAAATTTGCAATGCAATGATGCTAGGCCATTTGCACCGGATCGCGAATAGCCCTATTGTATTTGAAGTCAAGTGTATTCATGTGTACGCGTGTGTGTGTGTGTTACTGTTTTTTCGTGTTTTCTGGTATACACAAAAAATGTTTTCGCTTGGGCGTAAATATTTCAATGCATTCAACTACTGCGCCTTGAAATCATGCCGCGCCTACTAAACTCCCCCTCTCTTTCTTCACAAATTCGCACATTTCCTGCTTCATTCCACTTTAATGGCAATTTTCATAAACTCGTACTTCACGTCGCCCATCTGCAAACCTTTACTCCTGCTGCTCCGCCACTCTTTGCCGTTCCATTTGCCATGCGTTTTGAAACGACGCGCATCCGCCATCAGCCGCTTGTAACTTTCGCTCGGCTGTTCGCTGGCCCTATTAGCGCCGCCGTTAACACCAGCGGAATGGCACCGCCCGTGGCCGGTCGGCGCCTTCTTTGACTAGCGGTTTATGATATTCACGGCCGGGGCGCGCATGAATGACGCCCCAACAGTTCTCGCAATAGTATTGTAGACATGTGACGTTGGCGCAGAAAAACGGTGCGAATTTGCCGCCACAACGTTGACCCTCACACTCGTCACACATCTGATCGTCCAGCACGTAGGGTTTCACCTCCACACGCTTATCGATATCGCCATGCTGGAGCTGTACGAAACGCGCCGAAATAGCCGCTATGTAGCTTTGTTGATTGGCGAATGCGACGCGTCCGGCGCCCTTCGGATACTTTAGTTCCGGATCGGTGTCGATGCCCGCATAACACACACCACCATACAAACGATCCATGATCATGGCCAGCTCGAAGGCTTTCAAGGGGCGCGGTACACCGCCAACAAAGACGGTTTTCCGCGGATCCAACGACATGGTTGCATCGAGCACATAATCGGCATCGGCCAGACGCCAAGGTCTTATTTGTACCGGTTTATCTTTGATGGTAGGCGATGAGACGCACAAATAGAGCTTGTCGTCGTCGGTTATGCATGAATCTATTAACTGTTGCACGCTGTTCTCATCCTGGAAGAGCAGAAATGCGTATCCCTTTGGTGGGAAATACGACTTTGACTCAGCTTTGTGTGGCCAATCAACAACCAATGGCCCGAAGCGCCGAAACGATGTGGTGATCTCATCCTCGTCGATATCTGGCGGCAAACCGCCTACAAAGACTTTTCTCGAATAGCGTGCCGTATGTTCTGAGCCCTGCGAATGTGGTGACGCTCGTGACGGCGAGTTCAATTTCAAATTGGCATCCAAGTAGGCAGCTGCACCATTGCCACTCGCTATGGCCACAGCATCTGCTTCGCTGAGATGATGTTCACTTAGCTTCTGATTGCGCATGCGTTCTGCCAATACGGCAGCGGCGGTCACATTATTATCGCCACCAGCTCCCACTGCGCCCATATTGCGCATTATGTCATTTAAGCAGTGATCAATTGGACGCATGTCAAGACCGTTGCCCACTAGCCGATCGGGCGTGAAGCCAGCACCGAGGTATGGCGCATCACCGCCACCAGTGGCGCCAGCACTCTGACTGCCGCTATTGCCCACTGACAATGTGGGTATGTGTGACTGTGCGGCGTTAATGTCTAGTGAGTAGCCGGGTGTGGGCGAATTGCCGCCCTTGTTTGGGAATGATATGCTGCGTCGGTATTTGTTAGGTGAAATGCCCGCATTGGAATTTGGCGATATGCCGCCGCTGCCGCCGGCTTGGGAACCATTGTAAGGCGATGCGCCGCCACCCGGTGAAGTAGGACTGTTGCCATCGTGTGTCGGACAGGGATGATTCGGTGAAAGCTGTTGCTTGTTGGGCAGTCCACTGCGAAGGATAGAGATGTGAGACGATGTAGCAATGAATTTGGTTGATAAAATGTAAAAGTTGCAACAAATGCATGGTAATGTACTGGTACTGGTATGTGGTGTGGTGGTGATACTTTGTGAGGTGCAATACTTATGGTACTATCGATATACAATAAAAATTTATAAACAAATTTGATATTAACGCAATTCAAGTGGAGGTTATGTATGTATATAAATTATATAATATTTTAATTCATTAACATATTAAAACAAAAGCCGTCAAATGCACTTTTTGGGCTCTCATCATTCGCTACTGATAGGAAAATTCACAAGCCATTGTTTGATGGAACGTGGTAAGGATGTTCACTTAAACTACATAGTTCACTACTTTGCCGCAAAAAAAAATCAAAGCAAAAAAGTATCTAATTCCTAAATAAATTTAGCCGCCCAATCCGAAAATCTGAACTATGTATATATTTTTGGTTTCCTGTTCGCTTCTAGCAGCAGCCTCTAGGGAGCTGCAACTGTGACTAACTAACTGCTTTTATACAAAGAAACTTTGTACAGATGTTCGTGAGAAGAACCATGGGTGAAAAAATGCGCACTTTCCGAGTCTGTGACCAAAGAGATCGACTTTTCCAGTACGTTCCAGAAGAAACTTTCAAATATACAACCAATGCTGGGCAAACGAGCGTTATACCCTTGATCGGAGATATGTACGTACCCAGATACATTTATGATTCTGTCACCAAACTTCCAATAGCAATAATAGCAGTCAATAGGTAAGTTAAATTCATTTCAAAGTCTACGTTGGGTTTCTTCAAGAGTCTTAAGTAATGAAAGTAAGGAAGGATACTAGTCTGAAAAAAGAGCAAATATCAGCTAACCGGTAATAACCGACTAGGTTGCCTTGAGCGACGACGGTTATCTGCCAACGATCACCATCATTTTTCCAGGGGAGGAGAGAAAGGAACGTAGGCAGGTGGCGAAACGGAAAAATATTCCTGAGTGAGGCACAAACACCTGACTGTAATGGCATGCACGACAAACCTATTTCTTTCCCTTCCATGAAGGACTGAAGGCGATAAAAGCGGAACACTTTTTATGTCTATGCAAGGTATGTGGTTTGTGGCAACAATTTGTTGAGAGATGTGGTATTCAACTCTTTAACATCTACACGCGTTGTTCTGTGCTAATTAGTTCCGACGAAAAAGCGATCAAATCGCAGGAAATAATGAAATATTTGCTATCGTAGTTTGAAATTCAAGTAGAGTTCTCTCTCGTCGTACAAAAATCACACTCTATAAGTCACTCACCATGCCTGTGCTAGTGCATGGCGCGAAAGCAAGAAGAATCGGCTCTTGGAGTTTTCGAGAGAAAAAGTCTGTGAAAGATTTACGGACCATTACGCGTTGGCGATGGCGAATGCTGCAGACGATTTAACGATGAGCTGTATGGGCTTTACATGGATATAGACATGGTAGTGCAGGGAATTAGAATTCAGCGGCTCCGCTGGCTAGGTCATACCACCAGGGGGGTTCCACGTAAGCGGAGCTACGGGTGTGACGACCCGGGACCCCAGTCAAAGGCTACCAGTCCTGAGTTGGTGGGGGCTTAACTGGTAGAAGTCTACGGCTTACCAGAGACTTTAACCTGGTACCACGGAGAGCAGATGCCCCCCGAGTATGTTCGTCGGCGGGACGAGCAAGACTGGTGACACAAGCAAGGCTTGCAAGACAGGCAAGACAAGCACTAGCAGGACAAACACGACTAGACAAAAGGGTGAAAATTAAGTTGAATGAAAGTTGGAAAGAGAACGAAAAAGGTGGAAAAACGGGAAAAATTTGTAGAAATTCGTGGAAAATTCGTGGAAAATTGGTGGAAAACGTGGTGTGCAAGTTGAGCAACTCGAGCCGTTACGAAAATTGAGAGAGTGGTGTCACCTCTCCTGCTCAGAGGAGGGTGCCCACGAGCGAGGCGAGTTAGACGTGTGAGACGAGCAAGACGAAGCAAGATGGTATGAAGTGTGCATGTTGAGATGGAGATGAATATGGAGTGAAGTAGTCGCGTGAGTCGTGCTGGTGTGAGTTGGGGCAGTGAAGTCAGTCAGGGTGAGTCGAGCTGGTCGAGCAAATCTCGCCGGCGAGCATTACTCCTGTCTGTTCATGGGTACGGCACCTTCGGGGAGTATCGTGGTGGCTGTGGTTTACCACCTAAATGCGGGTAGAACTAGGAATGGTTCAATGCAGAGTTGCAATGCTACCGGATGTCGTGATCCAGAGAACCTCAGAGGTATAGGTAGGCCTCGGCCTTACCAAGGTGGTAAGTGTGTCCACCACACACTGCCAATTGGTACTAAAGTGCTTGCATTTCAGGGCAACTATTACGGAATAACTTAATCCGTTGTGCTAAGAGCGGTAACCGTGATGCTAAGCCTTGCTGGCAGGGAATCACGATAAACCCTACACACAGCTGGCTAGGCCATGTCGTTCGAATGGACAGAAATGCTCCAGCCCTGAAAGTGTTCAACGTGGGTCGCGATGCCTGGTAACAGAGGAAAATCTCCTCTGCGTTGGAAAGAAGGACTTGGGTTCACTTGGCAGTTTCAATTGGCGTCGGTGGCCACAGAAGAGAAACGACTGGCGTGCTGTTTTGGACTCGGCAACAAAGTGCGAATAATACTTTCGGGAACATTTTTAAGAGCACAAATTGGGAACAAAAGTCTCCGGAAAGTGCTGTCAAAGAACAAAAATCTAAGGAACTTTCTCTCGAAGAAAAATTTAGGAACTTAAGTCTCAGGAACGTTCTGACAAGAGAACGAAACGGGAACAAATCTACTCTGAACTATTTTCGAAGAATGGAAGCGAGAACAAAATTTTTCATCATAGCGGTGTATTAGTTTGAAATGTTTGAATATTAAAATTAATCAAAAAAGAACAGAACCTTTATTATGCAAATGAAGTCAACGAAAGACTTCAGACAAGAACTTTTCTTGGACAGGAAATGAAAAAGTGTTCCATAATCAGCCAGTTTTCCTCTGGCTCAGAATTCACAACCACGGTTTTGACTGAAACGATTTTTCATCCCAACTCGCAGGCGCCCCTCTCAAGAACAAGTTCTCAAACTTTTGTTCTCGTTTTGTTCTCTAGCACAACATTCCCCAGACTTTTGTTCTTATTTGATCCTCCTTGAAAACGTTCTCGATATCTTCGCTCCGATTTCGTTCTCAACGTAAACGTTATCGAAAGTTTCATTATCTTTCTGTTCTAATTAAGATCGTTCTTGAGACCTTTTTTCTCATTTTGTTCTTTTTGAGAAACATTCCCGAACCTTTTGTTCTCATGTTGTTCCCGCTCTCAATACTTTTGTTTCCATTTGGCTCTTTTGCGGGAACGTTCTTGACATGACATTTTCTTCTCGCGCAGAACTTAACAAAAAGAAATATACCCCGAGAGGAAAAAGCTGTAAATATAATAGCTTTAGAGCAGGTAAACTTTATTAAAATTATTATTGTTGGCTGATTGAAAAAATACGCTTTTAGTTAAGTTAAAGCTTTCATAATTGTGGGCTAGGTAATGAAGGTAAAGAACCGTTTTTGTGGTCCTAATATTTTACTCAAGCCTCAAATATAATGTATAGCTCCTAAACAACGCATTGAAAAAGTTCAATTTTCTTTTATTCATGCAAAATTGGTATAAAGGCTTAGGCATAACTAATGTGACCAACTATTTCATAGCTCAAAGAAGTACAGGTTAGGTTAAAGTGGTTGCCCCAGGCAAGCGACACACTTGGACAATTGAGAGATTGTCCTTTGTGGTAACACGATACAACTGAACGGAAACATTAATTTAGTCAGCAAAAGGCTGCTAGCCACCTATGAATAGGGCTAGTTTCGATGCCTGAGAGATCAGTGTTAGTTAAGTGCGAGCCAAAACTCTTCCATCAGTTCTAATTCCTAGTCTAACCGCGTGAATACCAATCGCACAATGGCCTGTCAGATCCCCTACCCCTAGCGAGATCTGAGGATTTTCAAGTGTAAGGAGCTGCTTTGGCTGTCCCCGGTCCACCCGAGAAGTCCTCAAACGCGAATTAAAGAGAGGTCAGGGGTTCTTTTACCGATTAGGGTGATCCGCTGTAAATGCTCCAGTTGCTTTACATGTGTAGCCTGGTTCAGGTAACCTTGAGGGAGATCAAAAAGGGTGTCTAGAAAACGTCCCTTAACCAAAAGTGTCGTATCATCTCCATTAGCCATAACACGATAGCCACTTTTTCCGGTTCGTCTGAAGGTCCTTTACAACCACAATCCAGAGCAAGGGAGAGACAACACCACCTTGCCGAGTGTCCCTATTAACTCTGCGCTGAGACGCTTCCCCACTCCGCCAGCTTATGAATAGACTTGACTATTGCCTCTGAAGTGGCATTGTTGAAGGCCCCCTCGATATCGAGGAAGGTCCCTACTGAATAATACTTATGCCTGAAGGCTTCTTCTATCCACTTTACCAATATGTGCAGGGCGGAATCCACCGACCTTCCCTTGCAATACACATGTTGAGCTCTTGAAAGACAGTCACGAGGAATCGCGTTTCTTATGTGCAGGTCTATCAGCAAAAAACGAAGACAAATTGATATACCTAAAATTGCTAGAGGAAATATGACAGCCTTTTCCGGCTTTCGGGATGAACGCAAACCTGACTACCCTCCAGGCCTTGGGGACCCGGTGGTCTTCAAGCAGCTCGCATAAATAGGAGTCAATCAATTGAACGACACCTCCGGATCGTTCGCGGATCGTTCAAAAGGTCGAAGAAGTGCAGGACCTGAAGTACAAACTATTACAAAGAAGTACATTTGACTGCACTGCGAAGTACGAAGTACAACGGCTAAAATAGAAGTACTGTACTCCCGAAAAAAGCACGGTTGGTCACATTAGGCATAACCGAAGACAGCACTTTTCTTACTTACTGACATATGCACACACACTGCCGGAACAAAGTATTGGCACAGCAAATTTTTCACAATATATGCAACAATTTTTGTTCTAATATTTGTCCGCCAATTTTGTATAAAATATGGTTCAGTCTACAACAAAAAATATAAAAATATACTTCCTAAACTTTGTGCAAAACTCGCGAAAATTTAGCAAATTTTCAACTTTTTATTCA